AGAGGGGAAAGGAACCATGCAAACGTAGGCGTAGCATACCTTTTGTGAATATACTTTTGTGAGCACCCAGGGGTAAAACTTAGAGACAGAAGGAAACATGGAAACAAAGCGTACCTTTGTGAGCCACCCAAGGTAAAGTTTAGAGGAAGGAGGGGCCATGGATACGCGGCATACCTTTTGAGAACCATCCCAGATCAACATTTACAAGAAGAAAGGGCGATTCCAACGTAGCTACCTATTGTGACCCCTGGATGGAAAGATTGGAGGAAGAAGCGTTTTGTGACCCTTGTGACGGTAAAATGTTGAGGAGGAAGGAGAAGCTCCATTGCAGCATACCTTTTGTGCGAGCCGGTTTGTTAGCTTGGGGGGGTTGTGAGGCCTTGTGTTATTCCAATGTATATAGCACACCTTTTGTAGGCCGCTCGGTTGCTAAATTGAGAGCAGAAAGGAGCAACTCCAACGCGCAGAAAGGAGTCACGTCCGTTTCTTTCACACTGTGCGTGCTCTTTGGGAGGGGCGCTGCGCCCTGCCCCCAAGCCCCTCTCCTGCACGACGAAATCTGCAACTTTTCCGATTTCTTGTTTGCCCGGAAATCTGACTTTTAAGAGCGTGGCGTAGCGGGTGTTTTTTAACGAGGGCGGTGGGTGGGTGAAAATGTTTCTTTTCATCAAACAGCACCCTGAGCTTGCAAGAGGCCCCATGGCCAGCACCAGCATAAAAACGAACCTGCAACCATTCCCGCATCAAAAGAACCCGAATCCGCACAAAAAGGATGCCGAAACACAAAAGAATAAGGCCACGCCAGCGCCCCGCAAGCGGAGAGGAAGAGCAAGACGAAAAAGAAGAGAGGAACCAGGATGAGCACAGCAACCTGCCTAAGCAGACTATACTGTAAATTAAAGATAAATTGACAAGAGAGAGAGAGAGAGACGCAAGAAAGACAAGGCAAAAAAACACAGCCCCGCACACCCAGCCTAAAGATAAAAGTGAACCCCATAGCACAAAAGAACAGGTGGGGCGTAAGAAGACAAAGTGAAAGACAAGAAACAAACGATGAGAAGAAGAAGGAGAGGAGCCTGAGGAAGAGGTACACACAAAAATAACGGGCCGCATAAAGAGAGAGCCCTCCTAGCCTCCTGCAACAGGAAGATCAGGAAGAAACAACATCACCAGCACAATAAAACAAACCGCCCGCATAAAAAATTGATCCTGCATTTAAAGGAACGTCCGTATATAACAAGCAACCGCCCGTAAGCAAAAGGAACCCCCAGCCTCCCGCATAAAAAGGAACCGTCCGCATAAAACAATATACAAAATATATTACCAACGAAAGAGCCGCCAAAGGACAACATAATCACCAACATTAAAAACAAAAATAATAAAGATCAAAACCACCGGCATAAATAAAAACTAAAGCATTAACACAAAAGTCAGCATAAGAAAAACATAATCCCCCTACGGGTAATAAGTCCGACATTCATATATTCTTCAAGTATATGCCGTAACATGAGTCAGATCTGCCGTTTTGTTTCCATTAGTGCACAATGTGACGAATTCCAGTTCAGAGATTTCTTTCTTCAGGTTGGACAAATGCAACCAACTCAATTAGAATTGCATACTGGAGGAAGTGCAAAAGTTGAAGGCGTCTTTGGAGTCCTCCGAGGCGCTGATGAACATATACGTTTCCGGGGCGTTGAGTAGGTTTGACCCGAGTTTGCCCTGCAGGCAGAAACCAAAGTGGCGAAAGCCCGTATTCAGGAGATGGAGAAGCACGTACTGGCGGCTCAGGGAGCAGAGAAGCTGGCAGCTCGCGCGTCAGAAGATGAAAAGACGATTGCAAAGTTGCAGGCCTGTAAGTTACTCTCCTAATTGTTCAAGCAAGATGCAAACATGCTTTGCCCCCTTAGCGAACCCCTGTGTTCGAATGGTTCAACAGTTCAACGTGTTCAGTCCTTGCTCCCCGCAAGTTTGCACAACATACAAACCAACTGCGTTTGAATCATGGATTGTGAAGATATCTTGTTGCGCATCGTTTCTTTGAGGACCAGGTAAATGATACCAGAAAACAGATAACGTGGGTTAGGATTATTACGGGGATGACTTTTTCGGAATGACGGGGTGGGCATGGGTTGTTAATGTTTGTGTGGTGTTCCTGTGGCGAAGCAAAAGTTTTAAAGAGGCCGGTTCAGTTTGGTGTATACCGTAAGTGGAGGCTCACGGCCTGCAAGCAGCTGCAGAGGTTTGGCCAAAAACTGCAAAAACGAAGGCCGTTGGCCAACGTATGACAACGCATGAGCTCTCTTTTTGGCTACTAGGAAAAAGGCGGACATCGTTGGCATGCTGAACCGAAGCGTTCCGAATGTGTTCAGTTTGCTGTTTTCCCGAACCTGATGAGTTGGGAGTTCATTTGGTGAATGGCCTGCTTACCTCCTATCTCATTTCCTTTTGACCAGGGTATTTTCAAAAAACCCTTAGTTTTAAGGTTATGTGTTAGGACTTACCGCCTGGGTCCAAGTCCCAACCCATCTTCCCCCAGTATATATATATACTATTATTGCTATTTGAAGACCGTTTGTAAAGCATGAGAGGCATGTAAGGTGTGTTTGAACTTGCTGTCCACAGAGGAAGCGGTGAGCACCTGTGTTGCCAAGAAAGGCCATTAAACCCAACAGAAATCACATTTAAACCCTCGACACATGGATTGCAATAAAACACATGGGATTATATTCCCTGTATATGACGAGTATATAACTTTAACTTCAACTCCATTTTGTTGTCCTCGGCTTTTTCTTCCAGTGACCACACACGGCTTTCAGAAGTTCAAAACACTGGGATGCCTAGCGGCCTATCATTTGTTTTCCACGGCCTTTTAGTGCTTCCCTGCAGGCTGAAAATGCAGCAGCTAAAGCTCGCACTGAGGAGATGGAGAAGCGAATGCTTGCTAGCGAGGGTGGGGCAGAGAAGCTGTCAAATCGTGCTTCACAAGATGCAAAAACTATTGCGGAACTTCAGGAACGCGTGGCCTCCTTGGCACCTTGCAATATACTTAGCAATATTTTTCTAGCAATGTATTCAATGTGCTTTGGTATGCCCCCATGCACGGTGAGCCTTTTTGACCAACTTCGAGCTGAAGGAGAAAGAGCTGGGAAACGCAAAAGAAGACGCGATTTGGAAGACAGAGTTTCTCGTCATGGGGGGTTTCATGGTGCAACGATGTGCAACGTGTGTTTTTTGCTTTCAGAATTGCTTGCGCTGTGGGTCACTCATCAGCCTCATCAAACATATGCAACAAACAATGGCATTGGGGGTCCAATCGTGGTGCCATTAGCCGAAGCATAGGTCCAGGCTTGGACGGTCCAGGTGCAAGTTTTGACGAGGCTTGCGCGGCAAGAATCTGATCAAGGCGCTGCAGACCTCAAGTGTCAGGTGATCACTTTGGAGGGCCACTCATTCAGCAATGGGGGGGGTGCTTTGCAGAGTGTTTGAACCATATGTGATGATCAGGCTAAGGCGGCTAAGCGCCAGAGCAACAGCAAGTCATACACTGTAGTTATATGTGTGTAGCCTGTGCATGCCACTCCGCGCAGGGACTTTTGTACTTTTGCTCCTCTTTTCTCAGGGTCTCAGAGTGTCAAACTCTTAATATGATGAGGTCAAACACCTGGGCCCAAAGACATGGACGAGAGTGAGAGTGCAGCATTTTTTGTCTTCTCAGTGCTCTTCCCTTTGTTGCAATGTCCGACTCCTTCAAGGCCAAGTCTCCGAGCTCAAGCGGCGCCTCTCCGCTGCCGACCAGCGCTTGAGCGCTGAGCAGTCCCGGCGCAGCGCAGCGGAGGACCGTACCAAGCAGACCGAGGCACGGGTTGGGTCAGAAGTGGTCAGACATGGTCAGACCGCGGCGAGAAAGACTGGCGAAAGACCCGGAGATAAAGGATAGATAAGGTCAAAAGTCAAAAGTGTGTCTTCCCGATCTTTTTGCCATCAAGTGCCTGGCGAGGAGCGGCTGGCAGATTTGCAAGAGGAGATTTGGGAAAATGGAATATCCTGAGACTTAAGATAATCTCCATCAATCTCCATCACTAGTCGTGTGGACTGGATATGTTGCCTCCGGGGCATTTGTCCATAGATTGCTCAATATGTTGAGTCATGAGTTTCATTCCAACAACCTGTTTCCTTGGCTCAGACCACCCAGGGCATTAGTCGCATTTGTCACGCCAGGACGGCAGCACGACCCACCTGCAGGGGAAGCTGGAAGCCGCAATGGTCAAGGCCAACCGAGAGGCTCAAGCAAGGACCGTGGCGCAGCGTCAGCTGGTGGCCGCCTTGAAAGCTGCCACCGCAGCCAATGCCAAGATCAAAGCGGCCGAGCGTGCCAGTCTTGTTGGATAGTGAGCTCAGAGTGGTTTGCCGAAACTGTGTTCGACGTCGTGGACAGGTGAAATGTTTAGGCTCTCAGGTGGACCAAGAAGGCCACAGGGGATGTTGATGCTGCTGCTCGCAGAAGTGGTTGTTGGCGACACCATGTTTCTTCCAGGCTTTCCCCTAGGATGAAGGATCTGCACAGGATTTCAGGGGACCAGGCCCAAACATGACATGATAGGAATATCAATATCACCATACAATAGCATTTGGACACTCAGCACCTGACCTTTTCAGAACTGCTGATCCAGGGAAAGTCCGGCCCCTTGTATGGAGGGTCGATGTGCCTTCGTGCCATGCATGAATTCGGGTGTATATATATATAGACTTATTGTGTTTCAAGCCCGTCATTGATTCAGCTGAAGTAGATCGTAGTCAAATGCACTTGGAGTGTGGCTGTGTGTTTGAAGTCAGCCGTTTGTCCAGCCGTTTTGTGGCAAAGCCACAGCAGCTTGACAAAGGCCATGAGGCTGATCAAAAAAAGTGCGAGATGTCCAGCGTTTGTGCCACTGATCCCTGTGGTCAATGTCGTGCGCACTTCTGTGTCCTGTCAGTTTGTGTTGGTTTGGGAAGTGTGCCAGGCATCCAACTGACTACTATCTCGAGCAATGTAGCCGCCTTATCCAAGCAGTATGCACAACAGCGTCGCCTCCTGACCGTGCCTTTCCGCGGTAGTACCTGTAGCCGTAGCCCTTGGACACGTGGAATGCTGGTAAGGTGACTTTCATGCTACAGCATTTTCGATACAGTAGATTAGCAGGTTTTCCTAGACTCACTGTAGCGTAGCCGTAGCATGCCGTAGCAGTGTATGCAACTAATGACTAGTGTCATTGTGCATTCGCGAGGCATGGCAGATTGGGTTTGGCTCTTGGGATGCCGCTGTTTATCACGCAGATACAACACCCGAAGAGCAATGGATGCTGACCGCATGGTGACACTCACACCAAAACCGGGTGTGGGTGCCCGGCCAGCTGCAGCTAAGGACAATTATCAAAAGATGTTCAAGGAGCAAGGTTGTGAGCGAGAGTGCCCCTGGGTGTTGTTTGAGTTCATCCAGGGCAGGGCGACAAAGTTTGGACCAGGAAGGATGCTGGTGAGTCAAGAACAAAGAAGCAGTCACATTTTGTAAATTTGTAGAGCAATGCACTTTTGCCCAACAAAATGCACTTTTGCTGGGAGACCTGATGCACATGTGCGAATGACTGGGAAGGTATGTCAAGTATCCCTACACGCGGGACATGATAGAGGTGCAGATTCAGATTGCGGCTTTCTTGCCAAACAGCTCAAGACCATATATCATATATCCATATAGGGTTGCGTTTTAGCAAGGTTTGATTCCACGGGTGGTTTGTTCACGTCCGATTCGAAAGCACTGCGTTGATTCTTTGTTGAGTGAAGCAAAAGTCTAGTCTAGCAGCATCTAGCAGCCACACATCAATGTAAGTGGATTTGTACAGTAAAATATTGCTATGTGAGTGCCCCCGCTTCAGTTGCTTAAATTGACCGCCAGGGATACTTCAAGGAGTATTGTGCAATGACCGGTCTTTCAGCTGCGATCTTAGAAGCGAGTGCTGCTTTGAAGCAATCGGCCAGAGTCCCAAGTGAGTTTTTTGTTTATTGAGAGCCAGGATTTCTTGGCTGGGTAATTGCATCTCATAACGCCTGGTTGCTAGTTATGAGTGCAGTCACAGTCTATTTAGACACTGTCGGCATTGTCACAATCACACCCCAGTAATATCGGCAGGAACTTCTTTATGCACCAGTATGGCTGTATGTGTAATGTTTGGGTTCTGTTACGTTGAGGGTGTCAATTTGGTTTTCTGGGTTGCAAAACAGTGTCCACCTGAATGTGCTGAGGTGTCAGCAGACGGTCCCGCACCCAATGCGTCCAATTCTCAAGAGGCAAAAGTAAAAAGCAAGTGAAGAGATGAAAAGACAAGGTAAGCTAACGAAAGGATCTTTGTGATAAGGCCCCTTGAGGGGAGGCCTTATGATTTCAAACACCATTTGTTTCCCATCTGCAAGGTGAGGGTTGTGAAATATAATGAGTGCTGTCCTCTCCTCTCCTTTCCTCCTCGTCCTCCTCTCCTCGCCTTCTCCTCCACAAGTACCAGATCGCAGTGGGCACCACCGGACCTCAACCACGAGCTGTCAGGGCACCACTTTGAACATGCAAGATCATGCAAGGAAACGTGGAATTTTGAGGGTTGGTTTGACCCAAAGCTTCATAATGCAACATGCGTGCCTCCCAAAACACAAACCAGAGGGTTTGTAGGCATTCATGGGGTGACTTTCAGCTGTGCGCCTTTACCAATCGCACACGCAAATGTTGCCTTCCTGAACCCTACAACTGTGGTTTTTGTTGCTTCCATATCGAGGTGTGTTCACGGCAAGTCCTCGAAGCACACATATACAAGATATACGCCGATGAATAGATAGTTACAATATTTACACATGCACAAACATAACATGCAACATATCATCGCATATATAGATGCAGATCAGCGTCGTGGTTTAGTAAGACACAACAATTATGTTCGTACTTTGGATGCGGATTGTGGTGGCTTGCAGGAACCGGGTCAGGATCCCAGCCAAGGCCGCCCCTCACCGACTGCTTGGAGACGGTTCTGGGTGCCCTTCCAGCCGAGAGCCGAATGCACTCCTTTCATTGAATGGTTTGCGGGTGATTCAAAAACCACACAAGACAGTGAGGAGTCTTTCGATTCCATCAATGCCGACTCAAACATCTCCAGGTAAAGCAGAAGGCCCCCAAGGCCTCATGTTGACTTTGCCGTCATTTGTTTTTGGTTTTGATCGTATCACATGCTTCCGGGAAATGTAATCATGCCAACGGTGTTTCTCAACTCTCAAGCATGCAGCATGTTGCTCGCCGCCACCAACTCTGCTGCTCCCAGTGGCAGAAATTTCAGAAGTCATTTGCTAGCTAGCTTCGTCAGCTGTGCAGAGGTTGGGCGAAAAGATATTGGTCAAAAAACACAACCAACATCGCAAAAATATGTTGAGCTCAGGCTTGGGCAGAGGACAAGAGAAATTTGGAAGGCATGGATCAGAACCTGCTCAAGGACCACTTCACGGATAGTTGCCGGTGTTTGAACGCCAGGCTGTTGTGTAGTATGGCGGCGTGCGGTATTCCTTTCCGGCAGTGAACAACCTTTCGAAATCGATGCTATGTAGGTGCAAGATGGTGCAAGTCATGTGAGTCCACTTGGGACGGTCTTAACTTATAAACTATGCGTTGATGCCTGGATGTTTGATACTTAAAAGTTACTCGGGATACTATTCGCAGGGTGGCACGAGACGATACCTGATGCTTAGCAGGTCTTGCAGCACTTTATATAATCACACAGTGGCACTAGCAGATCCTGGTAGGGTGGGCAGCGTGGGATAAGAAACCGCTCCGCAAGGACCGAGGTTGGTGGTGTGGCCCTCACATTCCGAATACCTTGAACCCTATTTGTCTCAAGTATATCAACACTTAGCAAATGAGTGGGTGGTGCTGTTGCTCGTTACTCCCTGCTCGATGTTGGGCCGCTGATCAACCCCGAGGTCACAGCGATCCAATGGGCATGAGTTGTTTCGTCAGAGCGAGGCACGGCGAGAAGAGTAGGGATTGGAAGAGCCCGTCCTGTTCAGACTATGAGTTTCTTTTTCTGCGCATTCTTCTCGCAATGCGATTGCGATTCAAGGGTGAGCTACATGAGCCCGTGACAACTCTTATTTGGACCTGTTAGTGCACGCAAGGTAGAGACTTGGAGTGTGAAGGGGAAACTGTCCATCAATTTTTTCCTAGAATTCCTCTAACAGGCAATCCAAGCTTTCTTGTCTCCCCCTTGATCCCGTTGCTACCTCTTCAAAAGTGCAAACGGCAAAAGGTTCCCCCGGACGAGCTCAGTCACCAGCTAGCACTTGGCAGCTGAATGCAGCTGAGGGGTGCTGAGCGCGGAAAAGATGTTGAGATATTGGCCAAGACATTGAAAATCTACGATCCAAAGACTGACTGGTATTTTGCAGAGAATGATGGAAAGACAGCTAGCCAAGCCTTGTTGCGAATGATGACGTAGGGAGCAGTTTGATTGCTTTTGCTTGTGTTTTCTTGATTCATTCACGCAATACCTGCATCAGTCAACTTAGATCGGGCAGTGTGTTTAAAGACTTCAAGAAAATACTTGTATGCACCCTTCAAACACTGTAATATTGAAGACATATGGATCACTGGATCAGGGATTATCAACCAATATGCCTTGCAGGGGTTGGGGTTGACATGTTACTCTTGGCGACTGCCAAGGAGATTTGTATTTTGGCAGGTAGTTTGATTATGTTTGATTCAAATTCTTTCATTCGCCTTTGCGTGGCCCATCAAGTGGTCGTACCCTGTGTCCAAGGGTCAGGCAGAGGGAATGGGGTGACCTTAGTTTGGGACTGCAGGCGTAGATGTTGAAAGGGTGTTGAAGTCTCAGATTTGCCGGGTGACCCCTTCAGCTTGTACAAAGATGCGGCATTGGAGGCCTAGCTGCAGGATCATTCATTCTTTGATAGCAAACTTCGCAGAAGCTTCGATCAAAAAGTGCCCAGTGTTTATCACTGTTGTTCTATCTTGCTATGCGATGCTATGGGAAACCGGCCTTATCCTTGACTCTTTCACCTCGCGAGCTTCATGCTTCGTTGACCTGTTCAGTTTGCAGCCATGCGGATCCGGTAATGCCATGCGGGACTCACGATGTCCATGTTACTAATATGCAGCTTGGCCGCCCGCAGACCACAGGTGCAACTAGCGAGCAACGGCCTTTATTTGCGGTAGTGAAGATTAGTGGAAGGGGCGTTCCTTTTCTATAACCCAATGTCAGATTTAGCTGGCGAAACGAGGTAAGAACACCCCGAGAACGAGATGGGTATCCATTGCACCAAAACCGATAGAGGAATGGAGAACGACATCACACCCCAAAAACGATGCTAGATTGAACAACGAGGTCAGGAAGGCCCATGTGTTTGATAACTTAAGGGAGATATATATATATATTTTTTGGTTTCCATCGGTCACACACACATATATATATACACATATAAGTCTCAATTTGCTTTTGTCATATGTTTTGCATGCTTGAATGAACCCTCATGATCAAGCTGTATTTATTCTTTTGAGGCATGAGAAGCTTTTACGGTCAGCGGCCAAGGAGTGTGCAATTGAGTTTTGGAATCGAGCCATCTGATGCCACTTGATTTGACCACTTGCTTGGACATTGGACAAGATATATACACACCTCACCCTGCTTTCCTAGAACGCAGGCTGTTTGGAGACAATGTTAAGTGTCACATGCATGTAACACGCATATAATATCCATTTGCATATATATATATAGTATAGGTACGAATGTTGTGGATGCTAAGAAGGCACCAATCCAAGTGGCAGCAGTGCTCGAGAGTGTTGAGCCGCAAAACAACCCAGGTCACCACCCCACAAGAGCTTCGAGCTGGGTACTACAGAGGGATGCATTGTGCCCGCAGAAACCTTCAGATTGTGCGTTTGCTGTACTGGAGAAGGAGCGAGGCCCCATCAACATCAAATCACTGAACTCATGTTTGATGGAGGAGAACCTGAAGAAGCAGCATGAAGCCATGTTGCAATGGGCAAGTATGACAATTTGTTAATATGTTTGCTGCAAAGTCAAGCAAGGGAGGCTGGAATTGGGCTGAGTCCTTGCGTTTTGGATGCTCTTAGCCATAGCCATCTTTAAGTCTTGGTTTGAAGGCACCATAAGCCCTGACCATTCAAATACCCGCGCAAGATGCCCAGGCGCCCTCCTTGGGTTCTTCTTACTTTGGCCACGGTGCTTTGCTCTCGCCTCAGGGGGATCTCACTCGGCCTAAAAGCTGTGCTGAGCTTCTCCAACTTGTTCGGTCGAAAAGCCTGACCACACTCAAGTTCAGGAGGCCTGTGATCTTGGATGCCCGAGTTGGGCCACTTTCAATTGGCAAAAGCTTTGAAGCCCTTGGTTTCTTTCCTGTGTGCTGTGCGGAGGCCTCTGACTTTAATGCAAGCCTGGTGAAAGCCGACGGGGCTTTGCAAGAGGTTGAGGTTGCTTTGCAGGCTCATATTTCTCATCAGAGCGTTTGACAGTCATGTTGCTCGTGGGATGCACATGCATGTACATGGGGAAGGGGGAGGGGGGGCTGGGATATTGATTAATAACACCCGTTTCGAGCGTCCGTAGCTATAATCTTTTAGCTGTGGCAAGAACTTCCGAGCAACCTTACAGCACTTGGACTTGGACCTCTTCAAAAACAACATACACATACATACACCAAAATCGTGGGCAAAATGAGCCGTTGCTTTAAACAATTGCAAGCTCTAGAACACACACACACACACCCTCACAGGCGCTGCAACCTTGTTTTATTGCATCAACGCCTGATTCTCACCGTACAGGGTCAACGCCGGAAGATCCGCGAAAGGCAGCTGCCAGAACACAAAGTAACAACCAAATCACACCTGCTTCATGCGTTCTGTGGATGTAGAGGCATGCTACTTGATGTCGATGTAGTGGTTTGCTGATACCATTTGATACCTTTGACGGAGAGGTGGCTGATCTCCATGCCGTATTCCAACCCTTCTCAACTCCAAGCGCTAGAATGAAAGGCACATCCCATATGGATACCCAAAAGAACTTGAATCGAATGGGTGTGCCGTGGGGGCCTGGGACAGTGGGGTACAGGAGATTCAGCTCCACAATGCAGCAATTACACAAATGCTCAACCAGAAGGCCATGCACGCAGTTGGAGATTCAAGGAGGCATGTCAGTGTCATTAGACTTGGCTTTTTGGCTTCACTTGATTCATGTTGGAGAGACTTGCCAGCAGGTGATTGCTAAATACAGTTGCATCAACTTTTTTCCGCATCAGTGACTTTGTGCAGGCCCCACTGACTAGAAGAGAAGCACACTCCTTGACTTTGGAAGCTCTTCAGCTGCATTTTGCAGGAATGTGCTGTGACAGCGACATTTATCAAGCAGAAGGGCAAAGCACCAGTTTGGGGTTTGCCTTTAGTTACTTTAGTTTTGATGCAGCGCCTTCTTTCCATGTATATATATATGTAGTGTATATATTATTGTTGAAACCCTTCTGCGGACATGACCGAAAACACACGTTCCCAAACCAAATGCACAAAACAGACCCGCTGCTCTCTTTCAACGCTTCTTTGGTTGGGGTTCCTCCTTCACGGGAGGTCTTCAAGGCCATCAGGCCCTCTCAACAAAAAGGGCTGCGCAAATGCAGTCAACCTTCAAGGAAGTGCATGAACACTCCCCCTGTCTTCTTCTGAAGACATCCATGTTCAAAAACGAAGCCTTCGACCACGTCACGGGTACTCCCGGATGAACCGTTCTTCCCGCTCGTGAGGGTGGCCATCAGCTTCCTCGCCTTTTCAGGCTCAAGCCCCCTTTCCGTTGTAGGTGGTTGGTGATCCACCAGTGCTTTTCTCTTTTCTCAAAACTTCACCAGCTCAGCTATCCCGGGGTGTGGTAGGCATCATCTGCATTGTACCCAACACAATGCAGCCAACAAACATAGCTTTCCATGCCCAACCATTCATTTCCAGGTTTTCCAGCTAGGCCAGTTATGAACCGTAGGCTTCAAAGCCACTTTCTTTCGCCAAGGCCAAAATGGCCATAGGGACCAACAGCTCTGCTAGGGTCCCTCCTTGGAACATCATCATCACAAGTTCAAGCCCCGCCTTCGGAGCTCTTGGGAGCAAAGTGTACACTGGTCGTACTTCTTCTCGCTGCCGGTGGAGCAAGGCAATGGCGACGGGGCGTTCCGGTGGCAGATCTCACCCCATCCTCTACACCAGATAGGCTCGCCCCTTCGAAGCCTGCTTTGCTCACTGCAGTAGGCACACCTGTGACACGGTGGAGAGCTCCTCAAGATCGAAGTTTGAAGCGACTGGCAGGACTCAAATAGGTGGTACCTTTGGCCGAACTTGGTGATGAAGACTCCAACAGCTCTCGGCCCTTACTTTCCCCTTTTCCACCTTCTGATCCTCCTTCGCTCTTTCCTCCTCCTGAGCCCGCCTGCTGAAACCTTCTTGGGGCCGCTTTCGGTGCTGCTGTTGGAGGGTCATGACTTGGCTCCCAGCTGTCATCCAGCCTGATGTCACGATAGTCCCTTTCGGAGGGCTTCTTCTTCTTCAACTTCCATCACTTCAGGGCCATCAGGTTCAGCCTCTGCTGGGACCTCCTGTTCAGGCTCCTCTTGAATCCCAGCTAGATTGGGATCTGTGTTGGATGAGGTGGCCATCGATGCCGGTCCTGAAGATGCAGAAACCATCAAGGGCTGTTCCAATCCAGCCATGACCCTTTCTTCAGGGCTCAACGAAGACGTCCATCTGATGAGCCATTCGCGATTTTGGATGCCGAACTGGCTCCTTTCTTCTTGGGTCATTGGCCGAGAAGCCCCATAGGCCCAGTCGATCTCATTCTGCTCGCCCTTTCCTTGACCTTTTCCTTTTCTTTTTCCTTTTGACCTTGCACTTGGTCTGTTGACTTCTCTTCCTTGCCAATCGACGGTGATTGAGCTTCCTTGCGATGGCTCTGAACTTGTACTGCCTGGTGGACCTCTCACAGGAGGATCTTCAGGAATCCCTGCTGCGTGATCTCCTCCTGGAACAGCAGGTTCACAAAGCCATGCAATGAACCTTCTCAGGAAGAGCGTGGCAAGCACAACCAGTAAGGTGTAGCCCATCACCAAGAACTTCAAAGGTCCTTCATCAGATGGTTGGCTTCCTTCATCACCTCCTCCTTGTGCTCGAGCTTTCGCGATGATGGCCATCAGAACTGCCAGCTGCATCTGGTTGGCATTGATCTGAAGCCCGGAGCGACCTTCTTTCTTTGGTCCTTCCTTTACTTCCTTCTTCTCTTCTTCAACCTTTTGTGGATCTTCTTCCTTCTTTGATCTTGCTGCCTCTGGGCCGTCCTCCTTTACTTCCTTCTGTGCTCTTGCTGCCTCTGGGCCGTCCTCCTTTACTTCCTTCTTTTCTTCTTCAACCTTCTTTTGGATGGCCATGGACATAAGCTCTTTGAGCTCCAGTGTTCGCTGGATGGGAAGCGGCTTCGTGCCCAAGTCAGCAATCATGATGGCGCCAGGTAGATGCCTGACTCTCCAGTCGAGGTTGGTGATCCTCCATCGGACATGTTGTGCGCGAAGCCTCAGGTGGCGTGTTCGCCAATTTGCATGTCCATCTGCGAAGAATCCTGTAGCTGCAAGATTGTCGACGAACAGGGTCTTGGTGTAGGGATCGTCGTGTTCTTGGATCATGCTATCGACAGCATCCCCTGTTTGCAGACCTTCAATAGCTTCTAAAAGCTCGGATTCGGCTGTTGACAAAGCCGGGAAAGGTTGCATTCCACTTTTCCAAAACATCATATAGCTCCATTCCACAGGACCATGACGGCCCCGCGAGAGGCCTGAGTTTCTGGAGTGGCAGCAAAACTTGAATCTGTATAGACCTCCAGAGATCTTGGCCCTCCATCCCAGCCTTCTCCTCGTCCAGGGCGGAACTCAAGACCTTCATTTGGTGTGTTCTTCATATACTTCCAGACCTGTGTGGCCTGTTCGGAAGCCCAGGTGGGATGTGTCAAGATCTCCTGCGCACATCGACTAGTGGCAAAGGAGACATCAGGTCTTGTCCTGTTGAAAGCCACATCAACTCGCCCACCAGTTTTTGAGCTTCCGTAATCTTTTCAGCCGTAGGTTCTTCCAGGTAGGGCAGAGCATCCTTTGTCATCGGCACCTTCACACTTCGGCCTTCTGGGATACCCTCCTTGTCCAGGATGTAGTCTTCTTGCTAGGCTCGAAATCCGCCTTGTGGGGCCTGAGTCAGCTCCACGCCGAGGAATTTGACCTTCTTTTGACCAACCACTTCAGGTTCGAATGTCTCCCATTCATCTTGAAGCACTTTGATGATCAGGCTTGTAGTGGTTGGATCACTGGCCACCATCAAATCATCAACGTACACCAGCAAAAATCCGACCAGCCATTCATCACGGTCATCATCAATTCCTTGGCCCTTCATGATGCTCCACAAATTTGGTCCCGCATCGGCTTGGACAAATCGATGGCCTTCTTTTGACTTCATCTTTCGAAGGACACTATCACGATGTAGTCCCCAGCACCGAGGCGACTGTCGCAGGCCGTACATGGCTTTCTGCGCAAAATAGAATTCCTTGACTCCCACGTGGCCAGTCTTGATGAGCAGCGAGGGAGGTTTGAGCACCACAACCGTTGGGTCTTGACCATCATCTTCTACATCAAGGGGCGCATTCAAAAATGCAGTGCGGATGTCAAGGACCGTGGCTCCCCAGCTCTTTTCAGCTGATCGCTTCAGCACATAGCGCAAGCAAACGGCATCAGCGCCTGAAGCATAGAGACATTGATCCTTTTGGTCTGGTGTGGATTGATCCACAAAATTTCCACAGGCAACCAACCTGATCTTTCGTCGTGGTCCAGGTTTGAGGGTGATCACAACTTTGGATGGGAGGATCTCCAAGTGACGACCGCACTTTTTGCGGAGGTGCTCAACTTCATCTTCCGAGATGCGCTTCAGTGCCTGCTTTTCTTCGAAGAGCTGATGCAGTTCTTTCTTTATGGCCTCGTCCCACTTTGGTGCTTCACTGAGCAACTCCTTGGGGGATACTATCCTTGTACGAAGCACCGACTCTTCTTCTTTAGGCATGGCGCTTTTGACCTTTTTGAGCTCTTCGTAGACGATGTCCATGACTTTGACTTCATCCTTCAGCATGATCACACTTTCCTCCAGGACCACATTTGAGAGACGTTCGAGGTCCCTTTTTCTTTCCTCTTCCATCTCCTCATATTCATCCTTCTTCAGGCTTTTTGCCGTGACTTTTCCTCGAATCCTCCTCCTGTCCATGGGCATCTGGTCGCGGAGCCAAGTATTTCACCACTTCATGTGTACCTTCTAGCTCCTTCGTTTTCCAAAACCTTCTTTTCACCAACAGCTCATGCCCAAATGGCGGCACATCATTGAGCTCCTTGTCGGCCATTCTTCGACGTTCACGTTCATGAGCATAGTGGCACGCTTGCGGCCATCGACTTGCAGGAAGACCAGCCATGCCCAGGAGACGGCGAATCTGTCCCTTGACACTTTGAATCGCTCTCTCGGCGCGTCCATTGGACTGAGAGGACACTCCCGCAGTCGTAGTGCGATGTATATCTCGAGAGCGGCGCCACTGGGTCAGTGACCTTCCCCTGAATTCGACTCCCAAGTCAGTGTGGAGACGAGCAACGTGGTATCCCATCACCCTCAACTGGATGTACATCTGCTGGATGGTCGACAGCACCATTTTTTGATCTTTGGATGGCATTGGGATCGCAAGGCGGAAAGTGACCAGGCGAGGTTCTTCTTTATTTTCTCCCTGCTCTTCGTCCTCCTGTCCTTCTTCACCATCCTCTCTTTCTTCAACTTCTTCAGCAGGAACTTCATCCCGCTCGGTTTGATCATCCAGATCATCTTGACCTTATTCGTTCAACTCATCATCCTTTTCTTCTTGGAGCTGAACCTCCGAGAAGTCTTCGTCTTCAGCGCTGACCAGCTCTTCGGGGAGTTCGTAGTCAGCTGGAAGCAGCCAGGTATATGCGCCAACCATGATGAACTAGGCGACATCACGGCCATCCTGAGCCACTGGGTAGGGACCTGCAGTATCCAAGGACAGTGTCGCTGCCAATGGGTGCTTGACCTTTCGATGTGGCTTTGATTTGGCACTTTGTTCTTGGCACACTCTGCAGTCTCTTCGAAAAGGTACGTGGCCGTTCTGACAATGCTGATCCCATGTCATGGCCTTGATCTTCATCTTTTCTTCATCACCTTCATGGAGATGAAGCGCACACGCCTCAGCGATCGCCCGGCAAAGTCCAGGTACCCACCTTGACAGAGAGGCGGAT